AGCGGGACCTTCCCGGGGGGGGCCGGCCCCGGGCGGGGAGGGGAGGGGGAGGAGGAAGAGAGGGGAAGGGGGGAGGGAAATGGGGGTGGACCAGGCGGGCCAGGTCCTCTGTGGAGCTGGCCTCCGCGATCGCCAAGGTCGCCCTGGGCCTCCCCCGGCCCCTTCCTCCCTCTTCTCGCCTCCCCTCCTGCCCTGTCCTCATCTCCCCCATTGCTCCTGCCCCTCTCTCTCTCAAATTCCCTCTCCCCCCGCCACCTTGCTCCCACTGCTACTGATGCTGGGGAGGCCAAAAGGTACTGATACCGCTTCTCCTTGGACCTCCCCCGGGGTGCGTTCTGATTCGAATTTCCAGGCGAACCCGACGGTGGCGACGAGGGCCTCCGAGGAGGCCTAGAAAGAGGAAACACGAGGAGGAGGCAGAGGTATGGGCACCGTTTCTTCCTCCGAGATGTTGGCCCTCCTCTCTCCTCCTGGTCTGGCATGGCTCTCTGGCCTGCCCGCGTGCACCACGCAGAGGGTCGCGCCGCGCCGGTGCCCTCAACCAGAGGGCAGGCATGGCTCCCCGTCGCGATGCGGACTCCTTGGCAGCGCGGCAGGTGACCTGCGCGCGCGCCCTGCCTTGCCGGGGGCCGGGCCTCGCAGTGGCGAGATGATTCGGACGCGTGCACTTTTCCCTCGGCGAGGACCATCGAGGAGCATCCACCTCCTCCTCCTGCTCCTCCTCCTCCTCCTCATCCCCCTCCTCCTCCTCCGCCTCCTCCTCCTCCTCCGCCTCCTCCTCCTCCTCGATTCCTTCTTCTCATAGATTATTTCCCCCTGTCGCACCCCGAGGCCTGTTTTAGGGCGGGCCGGGCGTTTCGCCTGAGACTTGCTTACTATGTATGACGCTGAAGCTGAAAAAGTGACAACAGTTTCATAGATGAAGGGCGGCTCGTCTTCAAAATGTGGCTCTCACCTTAGCGCCGTGCGCATTCGACTTAAACATGTGCAGGAGTTTCACGGATTGAAGGCGGGTGGTTTTCAAAATTTGGTTCTCGCTTTAGCGCCGCGCACATTCGCTGTAAAGACTTGCAAGAGCTTCACGGATTGAAGGCGGGTCGTTTTTTCTAATGTGGATCTCGCCTTGGCGCCGCGCACATTCGTTTGAACAACTTGCAAGAGTTTCACGGATTGAGGGCGATTCCTTTTCAAAATGTGGTTCTCGCCTTAGCGCCGCGCATATTCGTTGTACAAAATGGCAAGAGTTTCACGGATTGAGGGCGGGTGGTTTTCAAAATGTGGTTCTCGCCTACGCGCCGCGCACATTCGCTTTCAAACTTTGCAAGAGTTTCACGGAATTCCCATGATCAACGTACCAGAAATTGTGTTTTGGCCGGATTCGGGATTATGCGGGTGCAACAGTTATGTCGATTCGCATTGTTGAAATACAGAAATGGAGCTCTGGCACGATTCTGGATCGTCAAGACGCAGCAGTCAGGTTGATACGTGGCTTTGAGATCCCGAGAACAGTTTTTTGGCATGCTTCAAGATCTTCAAACGGTTGTCTTCCAACGAGGCAGTTCCCTCAATGGAAATGAACCGCTGTGGGGCCCTATGAAGAGGGAGCTTGGAGGGAGGGTCAATTCCAACATCGTTGATGACTCTTGGGTTTACACTGGTCCTCCTCCTCCTCGTCCTCCTCCTCCTCATTCTTCTTCTCCTCCATCCTCCTCCTTCTCCTCCTCCTCTCCTCCTCCTCCTCCTCCTCCTCCCCAAAATCCCCCTCTCCGTCCTCCTCCTCCTCCTCCTCCTCCTCCTCCCCCCTCCTCCTCCTCCTCCTCCTCCCTCCTCCTCCTCCTCCTCCTCCTCCTCCTCTCCCCCCCCGCCTCCCCCCCCTCCGCCTGCTGCTCCTCCTCCTCCTCCTCCTCCTCCTCCTCCTCCTCCTCCTCCTCCTCCTCCGGCGAGCCTGGGGAAAGGGGGGGAGCGAGGCGGGGCGGGCCTTAAAACTTGGCATCGCTAGGACGTGTGCATGTTTTCGGCCAGGACCGCCGAGGAGCATTCCGGACCCTCTGGGGCAAGAGCACGCACGACGCCGACGCAGGCACGGGCCGTGGACGTCCGAGCGATGGCGAGGGAAGCCTCGGACGTCCCCCACCCTCTGAGAAGTTCTCGCACTCGGGCGTCTTGACCGAGCAAAAACGAGACGGCACCACCTTGTCACCACGAAGACCCCGCAGTGGCGTCAGGAAGCCGCCGCGCCACGCCGGCGCCGAACGCCGCCCAAGCACCGTTCGCAGCAGCAGCGACACGGGTTCCACGTACTGGCCACGCGAGATTCCCAGTCACAGAGTATTCGCCGCTAGCCTCGCGCAGCACCTGATGGTGCTGTTCTGCGGCACGCTACCGCCACTCGTCTCAAGCTTGAGACGGGGGCTGGTGCAAACGGGGGTCAGCCAGAGCGCCGCATCAGGATCCTGCAGCGGGAGCACTGATCCAGGCGTGTGCGCAGGATCCTGCAGGAGTCTGCAAGGCCTGACTGACACGGGAGTTTCAAGGAAGGAAAGGGTCCTACGGGGAACGAATCGGGGGACGATCTTCCCATTTCGAAATGGTCACCGGAGAACGATTCGTTCAATCAGGGAACGAAACCTTCACCAGTGAACAGCGCTTCTCCCCCCACCATTCTAGCCCCCCTCCTACCACCCACCCCCCGGCAGGGCCGGGAAAAAGGGAGGGGAATCGAACGACGCTCCTTTTCCCAGAGCGTGAATTACCTACCCCGCTTTCGCTTCCAGGCAAAACCAAGCCATACCACGCGCCTCCTCGTCAGGCGGCCTGACCAGTACAGGCTGCAATTTGGCATCGTTTGGTATCTCTTGGAAGCGAGGGTGGTCAAAAGCGAGGTAGGTTTGTTTTCCCCCTATTTTCCTTGTTCCTCACTTCTTGTGGGGTTGACACGACGGCGACGGTGGTGGCGACGACGACGACGACGATGGCGTCTCTCACACGCCGAAGGGTCGGCGGCTCACACTCTGAGCCGCCCCAGCCACCGGGGACCCAATATGGTGGGGAGCATCCTTCTTTCAGAGCGTGAATTACCTACCCCGCTTTCGCTTCCAGGCAAAATCAAGCCATACCACGCGCCTCCTCGTCAAGCGGCCTGACCAGTACAGGCTGCAATTTGGCATCGTTTGGTATCTCTTGGAAGCGAGGGTGGTCAAAAGCGAGGTAGGTTTCTTTTCCCCCTATTCGTTGGGATGAATTTCGCGGGAGGTCAAGTTCAGCACCGGCGCCAGCACATCCTTGGTCGGAAACCGTGCTAATTTGGCGTACTCCCGCTGAATGCCGCGTACAGTCAACCCGAATAGTAAGGACGGGCAGCCTTCCCAAGGGTACCCTTGCATCCTTGCCTCCTCGGTCCATCCTTGGCCATTTTCGTTGGCCGCGCCCCGCTCGAATAGCTTCGAAATGGGCGTCCAAGGCTCCTGCATCCTTATCGCGCATCCTTACTATACGGGTTGACTGTAGTCCCGCTTGCTCCTGGAATGAATCGAGCCCAATTCTGCAGTATGGCTTCTGAGGTTCGGCTCAATAGCCTCCAATCGTTCGAACGAAGACGTCCCACGAGTTGCCTCCGAATGCACGTATGTCAGGAGGGGGAGAAATCACACAGACACAATTAATCGTCGATTCCCCAGGAAATATGCGAAACTATGGGCAGTGGGCGGGGAAGGCAAAAACCAGGATATATGCAAACATATGGGGAATCCTGTTAGTTGTGTCCATTGATTTGCGTGTCCCAGGGCCCCTTCATTCCTAATGCATGTGCGACCGTCTCGATCTGTTCGAGCCGCTGTATCTCGGGGGCGGCCACCCGAAGGCGCTCAACAATTTCGACCTGGAGGAAGCAGAGGGCCTCCTGCGGGCGGACAGAGAGGATGCGGAGGAGCTCCCGATCCGCAAGCAGCTGAGGCGGGTGGGCCAGCTTACGGCTGGGGTCAGTATCGTTTAACCGATCCCCATCACCCCCACGAAATTACCACCCCAGTTGGGGATACACCCCTCGAAACCCGAGGGGAAACGACTATAGGGGGGTAAATCGGCCAGTGGGGCCCAGGCCACGCCGCTGGGGATGGGGATGGGATAAACGATACTCATGGGGGAGGGCACTTGTTGTGGGAGGTTTCGGGCCGGCCGGGATAAGTCGCTCCAGAGCGTTCTTCTGGAACGGCGTTCGGAGCGTGCTGGAGCGCTCTGGAAAGGCCGCGGCGCCCTATACTTCTCCCAGAACCGTCGGGTATCAGAGATGGCCTAGATGCGTTGGTCTGATGTTGTCCCGATCATGGCTTCGTCTTGCCAGAGGTTTCTCAATTACCAGTTTCCCAGTCCCTGCATGTTTTCTTGCAGCTGCGCCTCACCGAGATCGTCCCGATGGTGCCTAGATTATCCCGAACGCCGCAAGACATCCGAGGTATGACTCGAAAGCCAGACATTCTTGCGTAGTGGACAAGAGAACGTCGGCGATGTGTTTCAATGTTCAGTCTCCCTGGGGAGCTTGTCGAGCCCTGGAGCCGTCAGAAGACGGCTCGGCACGAAACACCGGCCCAGGGAAGGTGTCGAGAAGGAGGCTTGTGTCTTGAAGAAAATCGAGCCGCCTGATGTCTGTGGAGGAAGGGTCGATGATCAAGGTCAGAGCTGTTGTTCTGACGCCAGCACCAAAAAACACATTGTGAGGGCCTCCTGGGGCGCCTTCGGGGCCCCGGCTGGATCTCCTCGAACCCTGGCTCAGCATGCAATTCCTAGCACGTCCTGGGGATCAAACTCGATTTAGGCGCTGGCATTTTTGCTGTATACAACCTGCGCAATCCTGCACAATCCTTCTCCATCTCCGTTGTTTCGGCGTAGCCATCACCATAATCCAGCCTAATATGGCTGAGTGGCCCCTTGAGTTCACGTAGCAGCAGTTCATCGCTCTCACGAAGACCTCCTGGAGGACTTTCTAGGGCCCTCGCACAACTCGCCCCTGCGTCGTCGCGCCACCTGAGCGACGTAGAACAAGGGGGTTGATTGCGCCATCCCTGCCGCGTAAGCTGCTCGCGTGAGGTTGCGCGTACGCGCCCTTGTACCAGATGTGGCGTGCCGCGCCGGCGGCCCGCGTAAGGCTGTCTTCGTCTCGCGTGAGGCCTCGTTTCTTTACGTCGCCGACGTGTGGCCTCGTGTAAAAGAGGAGGAGGAGGAGGAGGAGGAGGAGGAGGAGGAGGATGACGCAGAGGAGGAGGGGGAGGAGGAGGAGGAGGAGGAGGAGGAGGAGGAGAGGAGGAGGAGGAGACGAGGACGAGGACGAGGACGAGGACGAGGAGGAGGAGGACGAGGACGAGGACGAGGACGAGGACGAGGAGGAGGACGAGGACGAGGACGAGGGGGAGGAAGAGGAGCAGGAGGAGGAGGAGGAGGAAGAGGAGAGGGATGGAGGGAGGGAGGGAGGGAGGAGGAAGGGGAGAAGGAAAGGGAGGAGGAGGAGGCGGGGGAGGAGGAAGAGGAGGAGGAGGAGGAGGAGGCGGGTGACGAAATCTTTTGCGTGCGGCTGGTGTCCGCCCTGCCGTCAGGCCCAGTCTTCGCTGCATGGGCGCGTCTCCTGGCGCCGGGAGGCGCCAGGAAAACCACCTGCGTGAGCTGACTCTACCCTATCCTTAAGTCGGGCGGGCGTGCCACCCTACAGGAGGAATAGTCAAAAATAGCTAAGCAGATCTGGGGACGCTTCTTTGACCAATTTTGAATGTGTTTGGGCATTGCTTGTCTATGTTTCGCGTTTCTCCCAGAGCACGCCTGAAGGAGGACATGCCCGACCTAACGCTACTCTTCGCTATCCTACGCCTCTCTCCCCCCCGAGACTAGCGAATTCTTGTATCAGTTCTCTGGAAGTCGAAGAAGCAGACAAAAAAACATAGACTTTTTGGCGCTCCGCGCGGGTTTCTGGGATCCGCGCTTAGGCCCCCCCAGCGGCGCCTCCGGCGCCGCCCCTGGCGCGCTCCGCGCGCCAGGGAGGGGGCCCCAGTGCAGATCCAAGAAATCCACGCGGAGCGCCAACAAATTATGTTTGCGGCGTTTTTTCTTCTATGCCTTGCCTCACCGGGCGCGCTCCACTGCTCGCAAAGTGCCTACTCACGAACGTCCGAAAACACACATGTCTATTTCGATGCAATTTATCGCAGATCCCCCTCGCCGGATCCAGGCCATTTGCGAGCAGTTACTTTTGCGAGTCGTGGAACGCGCTCGTCTACTACCCCCTCGTCGCCCCCGAGAGCAGCAGATGCCTTATGCCGATGCTCCAGGGGGCCCTGCGGCTGCAAGGCCTGCAGGCCGGCGCCCTCCGAGCTGCTGTGTTCACAGGGTGTCTTCCGTGCAGCGCTCGCTTCCCAAACGGGGTTTTGTTCACGCACGGCGCAGAAGCCAACAGCACAACAATCTATAGATTCAAGTCGGCCCTGTCCCTCAACAGGAGGCATATTCAAAAAATAGTAAAACAAATAGTATGGGGACTATTTGTTGAGTATGTTTTGACCATTTGGGAAAATGTGTTTCGTACTTTTTCATTTGTCGTCCAAAATCCCCCTGTAGGGTGACACGCCCGACATGACTATAGATGGCTTCTTCCTTCTCAAGGATGGGGTCGCGAGCTCGGTGGCCGCGCTTGTTTGTTTCTGTACTGCGGAACGTATTTAAGTATAGGAGCCACAACAGATTCCGGAGGAGGAGGGGGGAGGAGGGGGAGGAGGAGGAGGAGGAGGAGGAGGAGGAGGAGGAGGAGGAGAAGGAGGAGGAGGAGGAGGAGGACGAGAAGCCTCCCCCTTGGGCGCGCATGACACCGATAACACTGGAGCCTCCAGAGGAACAGCTTGGCGGGTCCTGCCCTTGAAAAGACCTCCTCGGGGGCCCTTCTTCACCACGCCTCGGCGCCATCAAATTGGCCTGCTTATCAAAACGAGGGTTCCGAAGGGTCCTCGAGGGGGAGGAAGAATGAGGGAGAGAGTGAAGGCAGGCAGGGACGAGGACACAGGAGGGACGGGGGATGGGGGGAGAGGCGTTCTGACAATCTCCGAGATTTTCTCGTGGTTTGCAACTGTGCCCGGCGTTTCGTCGATTGTCCTCGGCGGAGGAAGGGGGGAGGACGGAGGAGGTAGGAGGAACTTGGAAGCTCGGAGGACGCAGGAGAGGGGAGGACACATGTAGCTGTGGGAGAAAGGACTGAGGACTTGGACGGACGGGCAGCGGCAGGAGGGGAGGAGGATGAGAGGCAGGCCCAGGAGGAGGAGTGACAAGAGTAAGTTTAGGATGCATCAGCGATGTTGCAATACACCCTCCCGCTTCAAGTACACTCCTCATACTCCTAAGTTCATACAAGTGTTCTTTTCCACTACAAGGAACGCCCATGTTACAGACGAGTACCTTTGGTCCTGCCATTCAGGCCAGAGCCCACTTTGAAAAGGAAAAGTGTTGCATCCTCCCAGCGAGTTATATGGA